TTTCTTTCTTTTTCATTCTCTCAATTATCCTTTGTTTTTCTTTCTCTCTCCTATCCTATCTCTTTTCTCTATCAATCCTATTCTATCTTTTTCTCTGAAAACTTTCCCATCCTATCTTTTTTTTCTCTCCTATCATATATTCCCCCCCTCTCCCTATCTTATATTTTTCCCTTTCTCTCCTATCTTATCTTTCTTCTCTCTCTTTCTTGTCAGATATTTCTTTCTCTCTCTCATCCAATCTATTTTCTCTCTCTCATCCAATCTATTTTCTCTCTCTCATCCAATCTATTTTCTCTCTCTCATCCAATCTATTTTCTCTCTCTCATCCAATCTATTTTCTCTCTCTCATCCAATCTATTTTCTCTCTCTCATCCAATCTATTTTCTCTCTCTCATCCAATCTATTTTCTCTCTCTCATCCAATCTATTTTCTCTCTCATCCAATCTATTTTTCTCTCTCATCCAATCTATTTCTCTCTCTCATCCAATCTATTTTCTCTCTCTCATCCAATCTATTTTTCTCTCTCATCCAATCTATTTTCTCTCTCATCCAATCTATTTTTTCTCTCTCATCCAATCTTTTTTCTCTCTCTCATCCAATCTATTTTTCTCTCTCTCATCCAATCTATTTTTCTCTCTCATCCAATCTATTTTCTCTCTCATCAATCTATTTTCTCTCCTCATCAATCTATTTTCTCTCTCTCATTCAATCTATTTTTGTCTCTCATTTATTTTTTCTCTCATCAATCTATTTTCTCTCCTCATCAATCTATTTTTTTCTCTCTCCTATCCTCATCCAATCTTTTTCTCTCTCTCATCCAATCTCTTTTTCCAATCTATTTTCTCTCTCTCCATCCAAATTTTTCTCTCTTCAATCTATTTTCTCTCTCATCCAATCGTCTCTCTTCCAATCTTTTTCTCTCTCATCCAATCTATTTTCTCTCTCATCCAATCTATTTTCTCTCTCTCATCCAATCTATTATCTCTCTCATCCAATCTATTTCTCTCTCATCCAATCTATTTTTTCTCTCATCCAATATTATTTTCTCTCTCTCATCCAATCTATTTTCTCTCATCCAATCTATTTTCTCCTATCTATCTATTTTTTCTTTCTTTCTCAATTCAGTCATTGTCGTTTTTTCTTTCTCTCTCCTATCCTATCTTTTTTCCTCATCTATCTATCTTTTCCTCTCTCCTAACCTCTCTTTTTCTTTTTCTCTCTCCTAACGTCTCTTTTTCTTTTTCTCTCTCCTAACGTCTCTTTTTCTTTTACTCTCTCCTAACGTCTCTTTTTCTTTTACTCTCTCCTAACCTATCTCTTTCTTTTACTCTCTCCTAACCTATCTCTTTCTTTTACTCTCTCCTAACCTATCTCTTTCTTTTACTCTCTCCTAACCTATCTCTTTCTTTTACTCTCTCCTAACCTATCTCTTTCTTTTACTCTCTCCTAACCTATCTCTTTCTTTTACTCTCTCCTAACCTATCTCTTTCTTTTACTCTCTCCTAACCTATCTCTTTCTTTTACTCTCTCCTAACCTATCTCTTTCTTTTACTCTCTCCTAACCCATCTCTTCTCTAACCTTTCTAGACTCTCTCCTAACCTATCTCTTTCTTTTACTCTCTCCTAACCTATCTCTTTCTTTTACTCTCTCCTAACCTATCTCTTTCTTTTACTCTCTCCTAACCTATCTCTTTCTTTTACTCTCTCCTAACCTATCTCTTTCTTTTACTCTCTCCTAACCCTATCTCTTTCAACTCTCTCTTATTCTCTTTCTTTTAACTCTCTAATCTCTTTCTTTTTTTCTCTCTAACCTATCTCTTTCTTTTACTCTTTAACCTATCTCTTTCTTTTCTCTCTCCTAACCCATCTCTTTTTTTACTCTCTTAACCTATCTCTTTCTTTTACTCTCTAACCTATCTCTTTCTTTTACTCTCTCCTAACCTATCTTTTCTTTTGTTCTCTCCCTAACCTTTCTTTTACTCTCTCTAACCTAACTTTTTTTTACTCTCTCCTAACCTTTCTTTTACTCTCCTAACCTTTCTTTTTACTCTCTCTAACCTTTCTTTTTACTCTCCTAACCTTTCTTTTTACTCTCTCCTAACCTTTTTTTACTCTCTCCTAACCTTTCTTTTACTCTCTCCTAACCTTTCTTTTACTCTCTCCTAACCTTTCTTTTACTCTCTCCTAACCTTTCTTTTACTCTCTCCTAACCTTTCTTTTACTCTCTCCTAACCTTTCTTTTACTCTCTCCTAACCTATCTCTTTCTTTTACTCTCTCCTAACCTATCTCTTTCTTTTACTCTCTCCTAACCTATCTCTTTCTTTTACTCTCTCCTAACCTATCTTTATTTTTTACTCTCTCCTATCCTATGTTTTCCTTCTTTCGCCTATCTTTTTTCCCTCTCTTTACTATCCTTTTCTTTTTTCTCTTTCTCTCTTATACTATCTTTTTTTCCTTTGTCTTTGTTTTATTCTCTCCACTGTCTATCTTTGTCCCTTCTGCCTTTCTCTCTCCTATCTTTTTCCTTTCTGCCTTTCTCTCTCCTATCTTTTTCCTTTCTGCCTTTCTCTCTCCTATCTTTTTCCCTTCTGCCTTTCTCTCTCCTATCTTTTTCCCTTCTGCCTTTCTCTCTCCTATCTTTTTCCTTTCTGCCTTTCTCTCTCCTATCTTTTTCCTTTCTGCCTTTCTCTCTCCTATCTTTTTCCTTTCTGCCTTTCTCTCTCCTATCTTTTTCTTTCTGCCTTTATCTCCTCTCTCGTCTTTTTCTTTCTTTTCTCTCTTCTCCCGTCTTTCTCTTTCTTTTCTCCATCCTATCTTTCGTTCTCTCTCCCCAATCCTATCTCTTTCTTTCTCTCTCTCTCTCTCCTTTCTGACCGCCCTATCTTTTCTCCTCTCTCACTCCTATTTTTTCTTTATCTCCCTTCTATCTTATCTTTCTACTCTCTCTATTCTATCATTTTTCTCCTTCTCCTATCCCATCTTCTCTTTCTCTCTCTCCTATCCTATCTTTTTCTTTCTTTCTCCATTCTATCCTATCTTTTTCTTTCTCTTTCCTATCTTTCATTTTCTTACTTTGTTTCCTAACTTTTTCTGTCTTTCTCTTTCTCTCTCTCCTATCCTGCTTCTTTCTTTTTCTTTCCTATCCTAAGTTTTATTTGTTGTGTATTAGAAATAGTGGGAGGAGAAAAATATGCTCAGCCTGCCGATTCACTCCTCCAGAAGAGATTCCAGATTGTTTGTATCAGGCTGGAGTGCCATGATTGCTCATTTTGAAATGTCACTCTTCATTCCACAGTAGCCTTGTCTTCCTTAATGCCCCAAAGACCTATCTTTCTGTCACTTGCATGCACTTCAAGTGCCTAAACAATGCTTGTGTAGAATTCAAAGAATACAAAGATTTTCACTACAGATGGTTCGCTTCCATTGCTTGCTATTTTTCTTTTATTTAATTCCAATATGGTTAAACAATCTCCACCATCCTTCATCTCATTGTCTGCTTTTCTATTTTATTACCATAAATGTCTGGCACTGGACTGATGAATCTGTCCCAGACAGCTAATGACAAGAGCTTCATTTTTGGCTGGAATTGGTTATCCTGAATTTGCAGCTATCTTTTTAAGGTACCTTCAGAATCACTTGCTGTTTCTTTAGTTATCAAAATCGGTGTAACCTGTTAGGGTTGCAGCTATGGGCAAATAGTTAACTATTACCAGCAATTCTTTTTTGCAAAGGTTATTACCAGCAATACAATTTTGAAGGAAAAATATTACCAGAAGCAGATTTTTGACAAAACAAAATATTACCAGCAATAATGAATTTTGACAGCATTGAGTAGCCTATTGGAGTTGATGTGTTGTGGGACAAAATAAACCAAACTAATCATATTCTATTCATACGAATCTATCCTCAAAATGTTTAAACAAATAACCCACTGAGGTTGATATGCCATAAAACAAAATAAACCAAACCAATCTAAACCAAAGAATACATATTCTATTCATACGAATCTATCCTCAAAATGTTGTCGGCATTAAATAACCCATTGAGGTTGATATGCCATAAAACAAAATAAACCAAACCAATCTAAACCAAAGAATACATATTCTATTCATACGAATCTATCCTCAAAATGTTGTCGGCATTAAATAACCCATTGAGGTTGATATGCCATAAAACAAAATAAAAACCAAACCAATCTAAACCAAAGAATACATATTCTATTCATACGAATCTATCCTCAAAATGTTGTCGGCATTAAATAACCCATTGAGGTTGATATGCCATAAAACAAAATAAACCAAACCAATCTAAACCAAAGAATACATATTCTATTCATACGAATCTATCCTCAAAATGTTGTCGGCATTAAATAACCCATTGAGGTTGATATGCCATAAAAAAAAAATAAACCAAACCAATCTAAACCAAAGAATACATATTCTATTCATACGAATCTATCCTCAAAATGTTGTCGGCATTAAATAACCCATTGAGGTTGATATGCCATAAAACAAAATAAACCAAACTAATCTAAACCAAAGAATACATATTCTATTCATACGAAATAATCCTAAGCCTTCTTCTCAGGTATTTATTGGAATTCCCAATAAAACCCTTTGTTTTCTTCACTGGGATAGATTGTTCTAGTTCCACATGCCATCCCTTTTCTGGATATCTCAGTTTCAGTTATTTCCATTTAGTAACTAAATTCTCCAAGCTTTTTCTTCTTTTTTTTCTCACCTTTGCTGTGGCCAGTCAACGACTTACCAACACTTTTATCCACTTAGCCATATTTCCTTAGGGACATCAGTGAATTAATTTTTGGGACTCATAAACCTAATTGCTCAGTAACTGTTTTTAACAAGAGCTCATATTACATTTTTGTTATTATTGCTTTTCTCTAGCACTCTGTATTACTGGTTCTCATATTATATTCATTTTATGCTTGGTCGGCTCAGGAGATTATTGTAGTCTAGATATCTTCCAGCGATGTTCTCTATTATATTTCCTGCCACAGCTGCATGGGATGGTGTACACACAGTCCTTAATTATGTTTTCTATGGGAAGTCTTAGTTGGAAGAGGTGCCTGTGAAGTGTTGAACCACTTTTGAAGGTTATCCTGTCGTTATATAGACCACAGATCTTTTGTATTTTTTTCCAATAATCCCTTCGCATAGGGTAAGCAGACCAAGGCTGTTTTCTGAGTGTTGTTATCCCCTCGGACTCTTCTATCCCAGTTTTTGGGAGCTGCTCTCATCTATCCAGAGTAGTTGTTACATTGTAGGGTACTCCTTATACTGACCATTTCTTGTTCATATGTCTCTGGATCACCACTTACAACTTTTGGTTGATGTTGTAAGCCGTGGACAATAAAGATGAGGACAACAGTCCAAATGAAGTAAATAGTTACAATACCTCAACTCCGAAATATAGACAGATGTCAGTTTATTTTGTTTATATGTACCAGTCTTTCATTGATATAACTGTACCTATATTTCGTTTCTGCTTTAGCAAATCTAATTTGGTTTCCTTTGAAAGTTAAAGTTACAATATAGAATTCCATACTTTATTCCAGTCGACTGTTACAATATTATTTGCAAGTATGGAATACATACATTGTACACAATCAGATATTTTCCCCTACAAAAACTACTATATGACGAACATTTTCCAACATAAACTTTATTACATTTTCTACATGAGATTATATATTTTCTACATGGGATTATATATATTTCTAATAATTTAAGCGATTTATTTTAAATCCAATATGTTTATATCTTCAAACATTATTATAGTGTATACTTGTATTTTGAACAATGTTTATTATACATATTGGCCTGCACATTCGAGAAATATGAAGAGAGAAAATAGTGCCTAGCTAAACTATGACAATCTCTGTAACCAAGCAGTACAGTACACTGGATCAAATGGTGGTTTCTTCTTGAATAGGGACTCCAGTTCGGTCTATTTCAAATATAAGTATCCATTATAATAACGTCTGAAATAATAAAATATATGTAAATACAAAAAGTGTCATCCATTACATGAAAGCAGCAATTACAAAAGAGGCCAGGCCCTGTACAGAACAACTTGATTTGCCATATGCTTAATAAATGTTGCATATCATTTGCTAACTTCAAGAGCCATTGTTATTTTAATAGGAACTAAAAACACTGATCAAACTTGTCAGTAATGGTTATATTCATTTAACAAATTATCAGCCAGTATATTATTAATGGCCGGCTATTACTTGTTTTTGAGCACATCCGTCAACTAGCCAAACTCTATTACAGGCATCTATACAATCCACAGAATACACATGTGCTTTATACTGCAACTAGGCTGAGTAGACCTTAGTTACAGTTTTGGGGAGAAAGTGTATAATGTGGTGTCATCAATTTGACATTACACTCACACTCTCAGGCATGCTGACTCACGGCTTTGTGCTAGAACAATCATTCTATCTACCCAGTTTTATTCACAAGGCTTGGGTCAACCTGGTGCATGTTTTTCAGACAATCAAAATTCATTTCGAATTGGTCTACATCAGGCCTGAACAATTAAAAAATGAAATGGGTCACACTGAGCACAGAAAATTATCCACAGATTGTTGAGTAATTTATTGAGTATCGGTAAGATAGAAACAGATCTAGACAGCAAGGGATGCAAAGAGAATCATTTTTCTTTTTCCATTCAGGGTTAAAAGAATTACATTAATCTTCATGAGTTGCTTCCCTTGGACACTCTCTTGGCTAGGAAAAGACAATCATACCAGGAAGTGCTGTTTAGACATCTTTCACTAGGAAGCCACATGGAGAACAAAGCAGCTCAAATAAAGCATTCACTCTTGTCCGAGTTCCTTAATTTAAATTTACAACTCGGACACAAAGACTCTGTTGGTTGGATAAAATCATGTTACTACAAAACACAAATTTTTGTATGTAGTCAGTGAATTTCTTCTGATAAACACAATATAATTATTTGCCTGCTGCCCCACACAGCAAGATGTGGCACAAGGCCGAGTTTAAAGTGGGGTATCCAGGCCCGTAGTCTCGGGCAAAAATTCCCTATAGACCATGTAAAAACGGAGTCAGTTTCCTGAGACGAGACTCTGCCCTTTGGCAGAGCCTCGTCTGGGGAATACCCTCTGACATAAGCCAGGTAAGTATAAACACAATATATATACTATTTTAGAGACCTCTGAAGAGTCACATATGGATTGCAGGCCTGGTCTACATAAACATGTTGACAGTTTAAAATGAATATATGAAAATGATATTGTATATTGAAATAATATATGAAATGATAAAAGATAAGATAAAAAAATCTATATTATAAAAGAAGTACTGCACACATTATCTGCACCTGACTTTGCATAGTATATGTAATGTATATGCATATGTCAGTGTTGTGCATGAGTAACTTACATCTGCTTGCCATTTATTGCATACACGGACACAATTTGACTAAGTTTGAAATAAGACATTGGAACAATAAATTCTGTACCAACTCACTCTGGAGAACCCTTACCCTGAATTGAGAAATAAAATCTTAAAGTTAGAAACAAGAAGAAAAAAAGAATTTATTTAAACTGAAATAAATCAGATAATTATGAGATTTTATTGAAAATTTTGGAAATTATTTACCGGGTAACCTACAGAGAATTCTGAATTTAACACTTTTATTTTATCTATGGAATTGGAATGGGAACAGTCAGGCATATCTCTTCTAGTTCTTATGTTTAGTATGGCTAAGTTATTGCTCACCCTGTTTCCAATGTCCAAGTACACACTACCTAGCACAGGGATTGAACTCAGCATTACTGTCTCACTAAATTACAATAACCTGCTCGATTAACGCCTTGTTTCATTAATTTGGTAACATAAATAAGCATAAATGTAAATAATCATGCAACTTTAACGCCAGGAGAAAAACAGTCTGAATAGATATTCTTTGTTCCGTTCTATTCAATAAAACATGTTTAAATGAAGGATTGCTGCCTAAATACCTTCTTTTATGTTTATTTCCCAGAATAATTTTATATTTACAACATGCCATCACTTCCTTCTGTCTTTTCTACAAATACTTTCACAGTAACTGCTCCAATGAGCTACTTTCACTGGTCCCCATACTGCATAAATTTAAACATGCTACTAAGTTGGCATCTCAGTCCATCACACATTATCAGCACCTGATATTTTCACTGGGAAGCAGCTCAAATAAAGCATTCACTTTTGTGACCTAATCCAATTAAAACAAATACAATGCAATCTTTATCATTTACCAATTTATAAAGAAATATGAAAAAAATTTTTATTCAGAAGTTTATAAACATTGACTAAATTTTTTAAACATGTGACTCAACTATAAGGAATTCCTTATTATTTACCATTTTGTATGAATTAGAAATTAGCCAATGTTTTGCCAACCATTCCAATTTAAATAATATATTAAATAAATAATATAAATAAACAATCTAATAAATAAATAGTTTCTTATTTTTGTTGTCAATTTTCAAAAACAAAGAAAATGTATAAATTCACTTTCATATGTTTAGATTTTATTAAAATTCTTATCATCACTTTTTAAAACAATAAACATTGCTGATGAAGTGAAAGTAGTTAAAATAATAATAGCATCAAGGGAAATAATATTCTTTTAAGATACCTTTTGTTTTGCAGGCACTAAGATTAAAGATTGCCAAAATTGGAAGCCATAGTGATTTAAGAAGTTGAAAAAACTGGCAACAAGATTTCCGAACAATGAAAAAGGAAATAAACATGAATGATTGATTGACCAGTAAAAAAATATTTAAAGAACTTGGTGGTGCTAATGTAAACAAAGAATTTACAAACAAAAATATTAAACACTATTTATTTATTAGATTGTTTATTTTCAAAAATAATTATATATTTGCAACATTCTAAAAACTAATACAATTAAAACTAATGCAATATTTATCATTTACCAATTTATAAAGAAATATGAAAAAAATTCATAAAGTTTATAAACATTTACAAAATTATAAAAATATGTGAAGCAACTAAAAGGAAATCCTTATTATTTACCATTTTATAAAGTTTGTATAAATTAGGAATTAGCTGATGTTTTGCCAACCATTCCAATAAATAATAAAATGGATGAGGATAGCTGGATGATTGTCTAGTAGGGCGGCTAGCTAATCGCTACAGATGCTAGCTCAGGTGCATTTTGTGTTTGTTCACCACCTAGAGCCCACCTGTGGTTTATACTGCAACCATTCTGAGCAGATCTTAGTTGCAGTTTCTGGAAGAGAGCATATTATCTAGCATGATCAACAGTCTGAATAAGGCTATCACGCTGAAACCCTTGGTCAGGATGACTTGTGACTTTGTGCTCACACAACCATTGACAGCTCCCAAAATGTTCTGTCTACCCAATTTCACTCTCAAGGCTTGTGTCGACCCGTGATGTGGTTTTCAGGCATTTTCCAAAGGTGCTGCATATTGAGATTGCCTCCTCCAAGCTGATAACATCAAGGAGTCACCTTCCTGACAAATTGACCCCAGGGAGATTTGAACCCAGATCCCATTGTCAGAAAGCGAACATTCTAATCACTCAGCCACACACCCATATAAATAATATAATTGAGAATATCGTACAGCATTTCATTTTGTATTCTGTGGACTGCTGCTACAGAATCACAAACAAAGAACTGTATCAAATAAGAGAAAACCACATCATTTGAGGACTTTAATAACCGTAACAGCTAAAATGAATATTGCATGCAACTCGAGAAATTGATGACATAATCAAAATGTTGATGTTCCACAATACCTCAAACAGAAGGTAAGGAAGGCAGTTCCCATCAATACCAGAAAGTGTGATGAAAGTTAGTGGACTTGAAAAATTTACTTTCCTGAGAAATTGTTTTAAGAAAAAGGTTTTAGAAATTTCAACCAAAAATAGCACTGTCTGCTTGGTCAATGAATGCCAAATGTTTTCATATAAGGAAATGGCTAATATTATCATTAGCATTAGAGATGAGGAGAACAGATACTACACTTTGATCCCAGCCCGATGAGCAAGGATTGAAAAAAAGCGTAAGTCGAGTAGCACTTTCTGCTAGGTCAATGAATGCCAAATGTTTTCATATAAGGAAATGGCTAATATTACCATTAGAGATGAGGAGAACAGATACTACACTTTGATCCCAGACCGATGGTCAAGGAGTGAAGAAAAGCATAATTCGAGTAGCACTGTCTGCGAGGTCAATGAATGCCAAATGTTTTCATATAAGGAAATGGCTAATATTACCATTAGCATTAGAGATGAGGAGAACAGATACTACACTTTGATCCCAGACCGATGGTCAAGGATTGAAAAAAAGCGTAAGTCGAGTAGCACTGTCTGCTTGGTCAATGAATGCCAAATGTTTTCATATAAGGAAATGGCTAATATTACCATAAGCATTAGAAATGAGGAGAACAGATACTACACTTTGGTATCATCATGATGAGCAAGGAGTGATGAAAAGCGTAATTCGAGTAGCACTGTCTGCAATGTTTTCATATAAGGAAATGGCTAATATTACCATTACCATGTAATTATTATTTTTCCCCCCTATTTATTGATTGCCCCATAATAAATCATGAATAATTTATATGAAAAATCCTTCTCTGTTCAGTTTTCATTCACACAAGCCCTGGTATTTTGTAAATATTTAATCTGCCTGTTTGGTAACTGTCATGACCTATTTTGTTAATCTTTGACTTTTGTAGAGGCCTGGATATTCCAATGGTGGACCTGATCATTAACCATAATATCCCGAACAATCCGAAGAACTACGTGCACAGAGTTGGGAGAACAGCAAGAGCTGGTGAGTGATTATTTTTTTATCAGTTCTCTTCTTGTCTTTTTAATTAAAATTTTATCCGAAACTACTGGAAACTTCCAATTAATGTAGTTAATGCCTCCTCAGGATCTGCAGGACTAATCCAAGACCGTTAATTGAATATAGAAACCTTTGGGAAATGAGAGAATTACTCTTGAATTTAAACTTTTAAAAAAAATATTTCAAAATAGTTTTTGAGATAATTTTTGGTGAAGTTGTACAAGAGATTCCACAATCAGAATTAATCTGGGGGTTTTTTGGGTTTTTTTTTTTTTTTCAAAAAAATTTTTTGTAATTATCAGCACTGAACACGTGTTTATCACTTCAATTTAGTCAATTCTTTTATTAAATTGCTGTCTGGAAGCAACAGAAATGTGGTTCTACAGAAGGATGCTGAGAATACTATGGATGAAGTGTATAACCAGCCAAAAAGGGAAATATAGACAAAAAGAAACTTCAAAATAACAGACAGACAATTGAAATTTCTTGGATATATAATGAGGAAGGAGCATCTGGCGAATTTGATACACACAGGTCATATTGAAGGAAAAAGTAGCAGAGGAATCCAGCTGGCCAATTACCAGATGTAAATGAACGGCTGAATGTTGGATGAGAGTTTTGGCAAAGGGAAAACTTTTGCCACCTGATGATAAAGAATGCAAATTTATAGAGAGCCATGATTGCCCATTTCCCAAAGTGGAATGACACACGATAGTAGTAGTAGTAGTAGTACTCCAGATCATGAAGATTAAAAAAAGTTTGCTTTTTTTTTTAAATTAAATTTAATTTTTTTTTTTTTTAAAGTTAATATTCATTATCAGTCCCTATATGGATGCCAAAGCAAAATATACTCATATTACGTAAATTTTTCTTTGCCAACATATTTTATCACCGAAGGACTTTATCAAAGTAAATCTAAGGATTTTATTTTAAAACACATATTTATAAACAAAAGTAAATGTACCATTCAGTTATGTGCCATGCATGATACATGCTTAAGGGATCATCTCTCTTTTGATACCCATCCTGGGTATGACGATAAACTACATCCATGTCCTGGGTCAGACAATAAACTATGTCCAGCAGCAAGGCCTCTGATCAGGAGGTTTTGAGGAGCATGGAACCACCTCTTAATTGCTGTTGTTCCCAGGTCCACCCTGACCAGGGGTGGTAGCACCTGTTAGGGTCCCAGCTATGGGCAAATAGTTAACTCTGAAACTGAGGTAAAAAGCATTATGAAAGTGTAAAAATAGGTTTTAATAACAGGAATACTTTGTAAAAAAATTATTACCAGAAATAAATTTTTGAAGAAAAAAAAACTGTTACCAGCAATACGTTTTTAAAAAAAAAAATATTACCAGCAATGCATGTTTTAAAATATTACCAGCAATACACTTTTGACGAAAAAAATATTACCAGAAATAGATTTTTGACAAAACAAAATATTACCAGCAATGAAAATTTTGTCGGCATTAAATAACCCATTGAGGTTGATATGCCATAAAACAAACTAAACCAAACCAAACCTTTTGATACATGACTGACGAGGCAGGTTTTTTTTCCACAGTAGATTGCCATTTCTTTCTGCAGTAGGCCAATTGCCATCCACAGCTATAGAACCCAGTCTGTCCTGCTATTTACCCATAGCTGTGGGGTGGGGGTGAGATGAAGAGGATTCGTACATTTCCCAAGAGTATTAGCACGTAAGTGAATGTAATGTATTCGACTGTAATGCGAACTCAGCTTTAGGCTTTGAAAATTTTTTAAATTTAACAATTTTATTAAAAATACTGAAAACCTCAGATTATTTTTTCTTCTGTTTATAAATACTTGTTGCAAAATAAAATCCTTGATAATGCCCATCAACAGATGAAGCATATTAAAGAAAACTTTTCCTTTTGTCTTTATTCATCTACATATTCACATATTTTTTTTTTAATCAAGTTCGCCCCAAGCAAAGCAATAAAGCCACTGAGACAAAAAGGGTTACTGGGTGTGGAAGAGTTCGAAACAGGAACAATTGCTAAGGAGCAAGAATAGAAGAAGAGTAATCAGGACAGTAGATAGCAATTGACATTGCATTTAAATTTTTGAAGATTGAAGTTAGCTGGAAAACATGGAGCCAGAAGGGAGTTCCACAAGCAAGAAGTGCAAGAAAAGAAACTTATCATAGAATTTATGATTATATCTAGCTAGCTCACTCTTATACTGTGCTTAAATTGAAAGAGTTTACACACTATAGCAAAGAGCTAATCCGAACAATTACCATGAAAGTATTTTTATAGAAAAGGCAAAGGAAGGCAGCCTTATGGTGGTGGGAAAGTGACTGAAACCAAAATGCCAGATCAGGACCAATAATATTGCTGATTCTTCTTTGGATTTTATTTAGATATATAGCTGGAGCACTAGGCCATATATTGAATGATAGACTTATAGCTATCTGGACAGAAAAAACATATATATAGTTTATTTGGTCACTGGATTTTTCAGACATTAATAATATTATTGCTACTACCTTAAATTTCAGCTGAATATAGTAAATACTTAGGATAGACTATGAATCAGAATGAATAAAGAAAGATTTGCCTACACTTAAATTTATTGATAAATACAACAGAATGTAACACGCACAAACTACAATTACTATAGAAGTATCAAAACTGGCCAGTTACCGATGAGCATCAGCCTGAAATCATGGTTTTTATGTGATTCAAATTGCCAGACCTAGACAAATTTTCAACCAACTGTTTGACCTTAAATGATCTCTTGCTGATCGATGGGTCGTTAAGTTTTAAACAAACAAACAAACAAATAGACAAATTTTCTTCTTGTGTCTTTGTCAAATATGACAGTCGATGATGATGTCTGCAAAAACAGTCAAAGATGTAATGTCTAATACACAAATTCCACATCAGTTGTAGATGGTGAGAAAATGTTGGCAATTTTCTTTGTCATATGGGAAAACCTCCTGCCTTCGTTGTGATCGTAGTAGTTGTAGTAATTCTCCTTTTTTTTTAAATAGCAGATTTATTCAGCAGTTTTTTCTCATTATGTGTCATAGAAATTTAATCACTTTCTGATGCTAAGTATAAAAGTCCTTTTGTTTCCATTTTCTCTAAAAACTTTGTCCTGGCTCACATGTTTAGTCCATTATCATACTCAAGCTCTCTAGGTAGGTTATGCATTGTTTTCCTCTGTCCCTCTTGCTTTCAATCTGTCCTGGGAGTATCTGATTTTCCAAGTCGTGGAGCAAAAGAAGTAGTAAGCAGTGAATAAAAATGTGCTGAAAACGTCACTTGGTAAAATGGAAGCTCATTTGCAGAGACACCTTTTATTGGAACAAAAGTGAGACAACTGATGGGGACTGGTCAGCTACACGGCAACCCTTTTAGATTCTAATTTCTTCGTCTATGTCCCGTGTCACTTCAGGATCTAGGCGATCATGACTCTCCACAATTTCTTGTCCTTTTTAGCTCTTAATAAATTTTGTCTTTTTTGTTATTGCCCCTAAACACTGTTATCCATTTATAGAAACTCATTCTTCTTTTTCTTATATGTGCTGTGTCCATTCAGGAAGTTGAAGTTCATGGCTCTCCCCAATTTCCTGTCCTTTTTAGCTCTTAATAAATTTTGTCATTTTTGTTATCACCCCTAAACACTGGTTCTGTCATCCATTTACACAAGCTTGTCAGGTAAGTTATGTGTTGCTTTCTCCTGTCCCTCTTGCCATCAATCTGTCCTATGAGTATCCAATTTTCCAAGTCCTTTTTCCTGATTATATGGCCTAGGAATGTCAACTGTCTCTTCCTGATATACTAACTATAAATGTCCTTTTTGTTTCCATTTTCTCTAAAACTTTGTCATTGCTCATATATTCAGTTTATGGTATTCTCAGCATCCTTCTGTTGAATCCCATTTTTTTTGCTTTCAAGTCTCACCTTCATATGTGATGAGATTGTCCAGCGTTCACTGTCATATATTAGATCACATATTACATAACAATTTAGAACACTTTTCTTTGTTTTTAATTAAATTGTTTTCCTCTCTCCCTCCTGCCCTGTTCATATCAAATTTTCTCAAGCTTCTTTCCTCATTATTCACCATAGAAATTTTAGCCATCTCTTTCCACTGTTAAGTATAAGTGTTCTTTTTATTTCATTTTTATTTATAACTTTGTTGTTTCTCATTTATTCGATCCATGGTGTTCTCAGCATCCTTCTGTAGAACCACATTTCTGCTGCTTCAAGTGTCAGTGAGGAGATTGTCCAACATTCACTGACATATTAGAGGACTGACATTATGTAACAGTTCAGTACTCTTTTCTTGTTTGCTTAGCTTTTGGAAGGCATCTTTCACTATCCCAATGTGCCTTCGGATTTCAATGTTCCACTTTCCATCCTCTGTTAAAACACTCCCCAGATATGTAAATTGTTGTACTTCAGTATATCTGAGATATATTTCCATATTTCTGAGATGAGGTATTTTAATCATTTAGATTGTTTACATTGTTTGGACTGTTATCCTCTTCTTTGTTGCCATATTAACAACGTTTTGGCCATTGTATACTCCAGCCTGAAACGTCTATTCACTGGCTATGTGTCCTCAAGGACACGTGGGTCCAGTGGATAAAAGCACTGGTTGAATTCAGTGACTTGACATAACATCAATAATGGCACCCCAGATTTCCAGGAACTGGTTCTATAAAGGCAGGTAATCTTTAGGAACCTATTCTGCTTATTTTCTTTTTAATCTGAGAATGGAAACAAATCACTTTACAGTATCAAAAAGAATTAAACCATTTTGATAATTTAATAGAAAACATTTAAGATATTTCCAGATTAAAATTCTGTTCTCATATTTCTTTTCAGAAGTAAGATACTTATTGATTCTTATGTCATCAGCTGTGTTATGGTTGTTAGTCCCGTTCAAAGTGAATCGCTGCAGTCCCAAAGGTCAAATGCTAAACCTTATCAAATTTAGGACTA